TTTCTAATTTTTGAATATCTATTTGTGTTCGTCTATTTCCAGTTAGCCAAGTAAGTAAAGAGAAATTTCTTTCACATAATACACTATTTGGAGTAATTGCCAAAACTTTTAATGCTAGTTCTTGAAGATAATTTGGTATTGGTTCAATTGTATTCTACCAAGTTATAGGAATATCATAACCTTAAGAATATGGTGTATCATATGGATATTTTTTTTCTTTATAAAGTCGAAGATGAGCAATTAAAATATTACAACTTGCATGGTCTTTTTCAAATTTTTGTCAAATAGAACCAATAATCTTAATAATTCTAGAAAATTGACCTATTCTAAACCTAAATCTAAAATATAAAATAAAATTAGAAATAATTTTTAAATTTAAATATAAATTAAAAAATTTTATTTTAATTTAGATCAAAATAACTTTTTTTAAAATTTAGTATTAGTATAAACTAAAATTATATTAATACTAATCAGAATATTTTAATATAAAAACTTGACTAATATTAATGATCTATACTGATTTTAAATTTTAAAAAAAGTTATTTTAATTTAAATCAAAATGAAATATTTTTATAAATTATACTTATTATGAAAATTTGGCATTAAAAAATATCCTAATATATATAAATCATTATCAAATTCTTCAAATTGTTTATTTAAAATATTGAAACAATATTGTCAAAATCCAGTATACTTTTTTTGTATTAGTATTTTTTTAATTGTTGCATTTGTTTTTGCTAAACTTAAAAAAAAATCTCCAAGACTTGCATTTTTATTTTCTAATAATAAAATTAATTTTTTTAAAGATAATAGTACAAAATTTAATATTTTAAATTAATAAAAAGATTATAACAATTAATAATAGAATTAATTTAATTATTTGTTAATATTCCACTATCAACAATCTAAAGATAATAATAATTTATTAATAATTATCAATAATATTATAAAATTTAATTTATTACCTTTTTTAAAACTTTTTCTAAATGTAATATATTTTCAATTGAATTACTTGCAGTTGTCCATCTTGTTTTTAAATAATTTTTAAGACCTCCACCAACTATATTTATTGTTTCTATTAAAGATCTTAATTCAGCTCCTTTAACATATAAAATTTATTAAAATAATCATTATAATAATTAATATAATAAATAAATTTTAAAATTAAATAAAAATAGAATTATATACCTGCTCTATATGAAGATTTAAAAAAACTATATATAATATTATATTTTTTAATTAATTGATTTGCTCATTCAAATTTTAAAATATCTAAATTTATTGCATGTGCTATACATCTTATACTAAAAATATGTAGATGTTGTGATGAAATTATACTTTGTGCAAGTTTAATATTAGCTCCATAAGACCAATTCTGTAACTCTCTTTGTAGATCACTTGTACCAAATTTTGCTAAAATACATTTAATTATTTCTCAAAATTTTACTAAATAAACCTTACTTGTACTCTTAAGTAACGTTGTTGAGCTCACTTTTCTCCATCTAGGCGGCCAAGTTTCAAGTTCTAACAATGCTTGGCTACTGAGAAAAATCCCAAAAACCAAAATTTTGGGTTTTGCTCATTTGCCATATATTTTACTAAGTTAACATATCTTAACCCCTAGTAGAAAATATCAAGCACCTCAAGCCG